TTTATCTTTTTGTGCAGCACTTTAGAAACCTTGTGTTTTTTTAAATCGTGCTATATAAATAAAGTGGATTGGATTGGATTTTAGTGAATGAGGCAGCAAAGACTAGCTTTTTTTAAACAAGAAGAAAGAGAGAAAATAATGTTGACAAAGGATGACCTGGAAATGCTCTTAAGACTTTGTAGGTGGCTTTTAAAAAAGCCAATTTAATTTTGCCCTGGAAGGACTGTTTCATCATCCTACCTTCAGCGTAGACACTGTGGGCCACCTGTCTTTATTTTAGAACAAGCTTTCTTTTTCTACTCCTAAATATTTTTTATTTTAAAATTTTGTGGCTTGGTATTGAGACCCCTTCCCTCACCGCAAAACTCAGTGTAACCAGCAGAGGTCACTTTAAATGTAGACAAAAGTGTGATGAGAGGAGCTGCAGCAACCACAGCTCAGGTGGCACAGATTGGATAAACTGATCTTTAGGTAGGGTGACCGCTCGGCCCTGCCATGGAGACACAGATTCAGAGGTTAGTGAACATGCTTTCTTATGGTGGTGTTTCCCAGTATGAAATGCTATTAAACCTTCAGCATCCTCTGTTTTCCCAGGTCTAACAAAACGCCTGGAGAATTACGGCATGCTGCAAAATACCGTAATTTTCTGTGAGAAGCGCCAGTTGATTTAAGCATCCGACTATGGTACCATGAAGAATAGTGGAAAAATAGACTTTTTCGTGAATTTATAACTCCCCTCCAAACCTGCTGGACAGGATGTAGAAATTATATGTGTCTCGGCAAAAGAAGAAGATTGGTCACCCTACTTTTAAGGGACAGTGGCATAAAGGTCCAGTTGTGTCTCTGTGGTTGGACTTGAAACCCAAAATTAGCAGATCTTCTTGATCCAGTCTGAGTTTGATGTGGTCAGCTAAGACAATTTGGGAACTTTCAGTCTCTAACACATTTAATGATATAGAATAAATTCAGGACAAAAATGAAACATGAATGAAATCCAGCTGTTTTTGTTTCTGTGGTTTTCAGTGTTTGGGTTTCAACAGACCATGATGAGATTGAAAAAGTGGCGAAATCCTGGGGGGCCAAAGTCCATCGGAGGAGCCAGGAAGTCTCCAGGGACTGCTCCACGTCCCTGGAGACAATACAGGAGTTTCTGAAGAAAAACCCAGGTACCTGAAGCTCACCTGGACACAAGACGACTTTAATTGGGTTTAAACTCGGTGGAACCTAAAGGGCCATGATGGAAAAGTGAAGATAATGGTTTGTTTGTTTTCTTTTTTTTTTCTTTTACAGAAGTGACGGTGCTCTGTAACATCCAGGCTACGTCTCCTTGTCTCCATCCATCCCACCTAAAGGAGGCTTTAAAGAAGATCACTGAGGAAGGATATGACTCCATCTTTTCTGTGGTACGGAGGTACCAGTTCCGCTGGAAGGAGGTCAAGAAAGGAAGTGAGTGAAGCAAACTTCTTCTGTTGTTCTAGACTTTACTTTCTTTGGGAGAGTCCAGGGTGTCAGTGAGCGTTCAAAGACTCCACAGCAGGAAATGTTCTATATCTGAGCTTCTCTGTGTCTTGTCCTCCTTTTTGTCCTTCCTTCCAGGTGCAGAATGTACTCAGCCAGAGAACCTGGACCCTGCCAATCGCCCGCGGCGCCAGGACTGGGACGGAGAGCTGTATGAGAACGGCTCCTTTTACTTCGCCACCAGAGAACTGGTCATGGATCAGGGACGCTTGCAGGTATCTGAGCTGTCGCTGATGCTTCAGTGTTTGAGCCTTCCTGTGAATACAGCTCCAGTTGTACATTTCCACAATAATACACCTTCTCAGAGTAGAATAAGTTTATACTGTTAAAATAAATGTCACTTAGTAATCTGAACAGCAACACTCTTCTTTAAGGAATTGGTAGAATTTATTTTGGTTTTCCTGGCATAAACTCTGCTTTTAATCCCAATACTCGCACTAAACCCTAAGCGCCTCACATGGAGGAAATGCATGTAAGGGTTTGATTGCGCAAGTCACAAGCATCCAAAATCTGGAGAATTTTGAATAATACTCGCACCCCGACAATCGAAAGTGACAGGATCCAGCCTTGTTTTTTTAATATTACTGCTAAAAACTGATAACTACAACAAGAAGTACTTATTTTATGGACGCATATACAGTAAAATATGAATTACTTTGATAGTTACACCTGAAAACAAGCAGGCAGTGGGGTTCACTTTTATTTGTACCATATTTTCATAAGACACCTCCCGGCCTAGTGGTTAGGACATAGGGCTTAGAATCGTGAGTTTGTGAGTTCGAAACCCACTCCCACACACTGCCACTGTGGCCGTCTGAGAAAGACCCTTAACCCCATGCTGCTCCCGGGCACAACCCACCCTCATACCCAAGGGGATGTTTTAAATGCAGAGAGTGAATTTCGCTCTGCTTTACTTGTGACAGTGTAATGATAATAAAAGCTGGGTAAAAAAAAGTAAATAAGGAAGGAATAAAAAAAATACGCATTAATTAGAATATACAAGAACATATATGGGAGAATAAAGGGCGGATTATACTCCTGCATCCGCACGCATCAAAGGTTGCTTGGGTCCTTTTTTAGGGACGCAGTTTCCTGCCAAAGCGCAAGGGGGACCCTATTGAGAACTTGCGAGAACTTCGTCGGATGGTTACGAAGACTTCTACGGCGGCGGGAGTGTTTATTTTCCAAAACAACATGTCTGAGGCATCGTACAAGTGGGTGTACTTCCGAAGCTCCTCGATCAACCTTTCGTAGTGGTTATCCATTGTTGTTATTACTCCTCGACAGACAAGTGGAAAGTCATACCGAGGACAAATCACAGCTGCTTTTTGTCTGCGCACTCCCGCTTGAGGTCTACACAGGTTTGCGACCGTCCTGACGAATAGTCTTAAAAGGCATTGAATTCTTCAAAATAAAATTAAGGCCTTAATTGGTATTAAAATCTCTTAAATCAGTCTTTTTTAGGTCTTAATTTTTAAAACATCATAAATAGGATTATTTTTATTTCGATTTATTTTTGCAATCTAAATAAAACGTTAAAATTGACATTTTATTTTTTTTTCATTAAAAAAAACTGCTCGCCATTATTGGTTGCGTCCCGATAGCGGAACCAATAAAAGCGTTGTTGGGAGATGCACCATTAACTTTTTGTCTGGAAAACCAGTACCAGGGAACATACATGAGGCACAGTGTATTTTGCGCAAGAAGCGATTCAAGCTCGGAACGATGGGAATTAAGGCAGTGGAGTCGCACATGCGAAGCACGAAACACAAAGCATCAAAATCGAGTTACCGAGAAACAGCCGGTATTTCTCGGTTTTGTTCCACCCTTGTCTCTGCAAAACAAAGTTTGTTAAAATATATCTGTCATTTGTGTGTTTTTAGCTTTCTTCCTGTATGAGAAGCTTTTCAAAATGTGAAACATTAGTGCAGTGGTTTATGTTAAAATAAACCTTTGGGTTAAGTTGTCGCAAGCAGGTTTTTTCTTGTGTTTCTTGTGAATTTGGTCTTAAATTTTTATTTCAAGTGGCATTAAAAAGTCTTAAAAAGTCTTGAATTTAACTTGCCTTATGCTGTAGGAACCCTGGGTATAAATTGACCTTAAGGCTAACTAGATCAAAATGCTAGAAGACAGAAATTGAAAATTAAGGCATTAAAAAAAAAAAATAAAAATAGACATTTAATTGTAGTTATGTAGTTTTTTTATGTTTTAATTGTCATGATATCGGAGAATTAGCTAAAACTCCTTAATAAATGTTTAGAAGGTGTGACTGATTTCTAATTACAGCAATAAATATTTGAAAATCAAAAGACCAACTTAGACTGAATTTAGAATCAACGATCGATTTATCAATAGTGATAACCAGAATAGTTTTGCTTAGTTATTTTTTACAATGAAATCTACATTTAGCTGGTAAAGGGTTAAAATTATCTGTAAATAATTATTGAATAATCAAAAATAATGACTCTTATTCCTATGATGAGTGAATATTTCACTCTAATCAGTTCCAGTTCTGATGTTTGGGTTGGCCGTTCTCTCAGGGCGGCAGGGTGGCCTACTTTGAGATGGAGCCGCAGCACAGTGTGGACATCGACGTGGACATCGACTGGCCCGTGGCGGAGCAGAGGGTTCTCCGGTGAGACCTGCTTTAGATTTGATCTGCCATTTAGTGATTCAGTGATATGCTGTTTAAAGTTCTCCTGTTTGTCATTTCAATCATTTTCCTGCCAGGAGGTCTTACTTTGCTTTTTGCTTCTGTTATTTTTGCGTTTCTGGGCTCCCAACAGATTCGGTTACTTCGGTCGCGGGGTTTCCCTGATGTTCTGTAAGGTCTCAGGATGTCTGACTGATGGGCGGGTCTTCCTGTCCGTGTCTGGAGAGGACACAGTCTCTGTCCACAGCACGGACACAGCGGGTATCAGGATGCTGCAGAAAGACGACGTGGAGGTTTGGATCTGTCGCGTTTTGTTGTGAAATGCTACCTCTTTTTCTACAGAGGACCATACCGTCTTTGTTCTCCAGGTGGTCCTGCTGGTCTCCAGGGAGGACCATGTGATCCAGCTGATGTTTGACAAACTGAAGAAGATGACGGGGTGTAAAGTCATGGTGGTTGGAGAGGAGCCTCTAAACGACATAAAGCCGCTAGTGGAGAAGAGGAAGCTTGACTGGAAGGACGTGGCCTATATGGGTAGAAAAAAATGAATGTTTGATCTTTCAAATAAATGTATGGTCATTTATGAAACAAGAAAACTTGAAATGTTTGAATTTCCATACAAGCATGTTTGCATATCATCTTGAGAAGTCGCCATAGCAGGAAGGTAAATATTTTCCTAACCGTCCCCTCCCAGGTAACGACGCAGCAGACGCCAGCTGTCTGAATCTAGCAGGCCTGAGCGCGGCGCCAGCAGACGCTCCGCCCGGCGCTGCTCGAGCTGCCAAATACACCTGCAAGTACGCCGGAGGGGCGGGAGCCGTGAGGGACTTCGCCGAACACGTTCTTCTGCAGAAGGAAACGGCCAAAGTTCAGATGAAGCAGGACCGGATCGACCGCCACAACTTCTGATGTGGGATCAGTGATATCATTCAGCGATACCTCAGTGGCACCATGCTGCCAATAGATAGGACCTTCAGGCTGTTTGAGTAGAAGATATAGAAAAGAGGAGAACAGATCAGAACCAGACTCCCTCCACTGGTTACCAATGTACTGTCAATGCAGTACTTCATGCATTATATAGTATCAGTCAGAGGTCTACATAAACTCCCCATGGACATGAATGTCAGATTAATTTCTGGTCATTTGTTTCTAGGAAAAAGAAACAGAATTAATTCACTTTCTTTTTGTTTTTTCCTCTTGAAATCTAAATAATTCACAGTGGCTCATAAATATTAAAAGAAGCTTTAATAACTGCTTCAATGCTGTTGCTGGCAGAACTAGCTTTTTTTCTAGAAACAGCGTCTGTGTTCTTCTGTTGGAACTGGGTGCAGGTTTCCTCCATCTTGCTTCTGAAGTGGAATAGCTTCATCATCCACCAGCTTTAGCAGAAGAAAAACAGTCCCACAGTATGATGCTGCCACCACCATACTTTAAAGTTGGAGCACTGTTCCATTGGTTTGAGAGCCTTGTTTATAATCACAGCTCAACATTTCCACCTGGCTTGAAATGAGGATTATGTTGATACTAATCTGACTACACCAGGGTTCCACTAGTTTCTACCGAGGGATTAGTTTGAGCTAGATTTTTTTGGTCCTCATAGCTCAGACTGACATCAGTTCACCACTAATTGTGCTTAGAAATTGATCAACTAGCTCACTATGTGCTGCCTCTCAGTGCAAACATTCAGTGTGTTCTATTTCCATTGTTCTAAAGCATGATTGTTTCAAAGCTTGATTTGCGTTACCCTGTAAATTAAGGTAACCTACCAGAGTGGATCATTAAAATCAATCAGATCTTTTTTAAAATTGTAATTTTATTAAGGATCCCCATTAGCTGTTGCCATGGCAAACAGCTAGTCTTCCTGGGGTCCACATTAAAAACATACAGTAAAAACAGTTACAAATATTAAAATTTCCAAAAATGTAATTTCTTAAAATTACTGTAGGAAGTAGAAAAGAACAAGTAAAATAAAACAGCCAATAAAACAAGAACAAATATAATAAAACAAAAACACTTCAGGGCATCAAATGGAGTCTCAGATTCTTTTTAAAAGATAATTTACTTTCAGTGTAGCGGATGTAGTGAGGTAGATTAATGAAATCAGTTTCATTTATTTTCATTATAAAACTGAAGTGAGAAAAAATGGTTAAATCTGATATGGAGTGGAGGAAAAAATCAAGGATTAGATTTTTAAAACCATGTCGTCCAGCCCTAGTTTGTTTCTGGGTGGATCCTAAGCTCCTGCTGAACATCTTCACCGGTTCTTATAATAGAGTAGCTCCCTGGATGAAACCGGGGATGACAGCATGATGCTCTAGGCCAGTTTCCTAACAGTGGGACGGCATTTTCTACCAAGGAGCATAGAAATGATGACCTCAATTGGTCTTCAAATGTAACTTCTAATGGTTTGAGCTTTAACCAGCAGAACGACAATCCCATTAGAACTGGTTTTAAAGCAGGCTAACATTAAGCTTTCTGAATGCCTGACCTCAACAAATTCAATATTTGTGGACTACACCCAGAAGCCAGGTCTGTGCAAGAAGACCATTCTGTGAACATGAGCTCCACCCATTCTGCCTTCTTTCTATAGGGTATGCAGATTTCTGTTGTGGTTGCACGCTGCGTTATCAGTCTAGTGTGGAAAGAGAAGGCATCAGCCCGATGGAGGTAACCTTCTGACTGGAGCTCACTGCTGGGAGGTAGTTTTTTTATTTTTATCCGGATCATAAAGAGATTAATTAACAGTTTAATCTGCATCCTCCTGCCTTTACTGCAGATTAGTGACACTAAAAGCTGAAATGACTGCATGCCTATTCTGATGACTCTACTTATGAACGTGTACGTTTTCTTGTTTATACAATGAACTATACAAGGGGCCAAATTTGGATATAGTCTTTTGTGGAAAAAAAAAAACACAAAATGGAACTTCTCTGTTTTTTATCTGAGATTAATGAGGTCATATCCACTTGATTGAACTATTGATTTTCTGGATATGGAGAGATGTTCTTTATCAAAGAGGTGTGCTCCAAATGGCTAAGCCAGCTGATACTATCTGTGTTCATTTGGCAGATCTGTCCTGGTTTAGACCATCTTAATACTTGCCTTGAATCTGCAGCCTAATTTATTGCACACATGCAGGGTCTAACATCTCTCTTGCAGATATTTCTATACATAATTATTAAAACATGATTGAAAAACTGGTGCATGTTTTTCCTGTTTTGCTGCTCTTTGGTTTCAGTCTGTTGGTATGTGGAATGTGTGTGTGTGTGTGTGGGGGGGGTGGGGGTAGGGGGTAATAATACTAGGATGGTGTTATGGAATCAGAATGATGGTTTATATTCGCTATATTTATTGATTCCCAATGTGTGAAAATTTCGGTCTGTCTAATTTTTTTGTTGTTGTTGTTGACATTTTCAGATGAAATGTTGATTCTGAAAAGATTTTTCAATGAAATGATCTTTTCCAAAGCAGTGTCTGTTGTTTTTCTTTTGCTCCATTGAAACATGTAAGGCAGACGTATTCTTGATTTTTGCTTTCATGGGATCAAAAATAGTGAGGAGAAAATGAAATCAGATGTTTACTTTTTTCCCTATTTTTCATTGTAAGTAATTATCTGCATCTCCTCAAAAAAATAAAAAAAATCTTAGTTAGAAAGCTGCATTCTTGTGTCTATAGCGAGATTTAACAATAGACATGAATTAAGGCATGAACGGCGAGCTTTAAGAAGCATCAGGTCTTAATCTTACAAAATTGGGATCAACCCTCTAAGAAGCTGAGGATCCAAGAGCTTTATTCCAGATCATCTTTAATCTTGACTGAATGAATCATGTCTGTTTCTACAGAGCAGATTTGTTAAGGTGTCTTAAAGAACTAAAATACTAACAATGTCATTTAGAAATATGAGAGCGAAGTGGAAATGCCTGTCCATAATACACAGCACCATGTTTCCAGAAAAATAAAACCATACAGAGGAAAACGCCTCATAGCTCTACAGCACGGTGGTGGAGGGCTGATGATTTGGGCTGTGAGCACCTTGCAGTCAGGTTTTCCTGAAAGGGGGGTGCAAACGAGATTATCAAGTGCTCGCTGCACCCTCTGGGAACATTGTTCACAAATGGCATCAAATTCACTACAGAAAGACTAAAAAAATGAAAGAATTTAATTGTTTAATGGTTCGTTTAAAGTCAACGCCTTAAACATGATCAAAATGCCATGGAGGGACTTTTGCAGACGTTTAGACTGAAAAGAAGACTTAGTTTTATTTTACCATACCTGAAATGAATCAGAAGAATGAAATAAATAGATACTGAAAGGTTTGAGTTTCTGCTCAGGATTTCTTAACCTGACTTAGTTTGTTTTAGCATATCTGGTCAGTGGCAAGAAGTAGAGAACCTTTATAACTCTCACTTGTTATTACCTTCTAAGTTAATTATGCCCTCTAAGTTTATCACTAACAGAAATGGGTTTAATTGAACCTGTGATGAACAGAAGGTTTGTGGGGCATAGAAGAAAAGGTATGACCAGAGAGGCATTCAATTAAAAACTGGTCACTGTAGATGCTGTAATGTTCATCACTCTCCACAAGAGGGCAGCACTTCAGACTCATTTACCATTATACCTGCTTCAGATAGAGTTTAAAAACAAAGTTATTTTATTCACGTAACAGGGATCCATATATATGTAGTGATATATATATGTTTTAAGAAACAAAGACCGCCTCTTTATTTAATATCTATATTCAAACATCACATTTGTTCTCTTAAAAAGCTGTAGATAAGCTTTATTTTAGCCATTACTAGCCTATTCTAGCTATACAAATATACTGTCAACAACAAACCTGACCAAGAACAAACAAAAATCTATAATTGTCCTTTTTTTTGTCTCGCTTTTGCCATAAAGATCTTAAAATAAATGACTTTGTAGATAAATGTTTGTGTAAAATATTCTCCAAATGAGTTCCTAATGTCAAAGGTGCTGTTAAAAATCAATTATGATAACACACTGTACTAAGCGGTCAGAAGCAGTTTCTCTAAATCAGAAAAGGCATTCCTAAATGCATGACTGAAAATAGACACACAGGCATTAACTATAAAAATAGTACAGTGTAAAATAGTAATTTGTTGCTAATTTTGGTCAAAATGGGGTTTTAAAGCAATCCCTATAAAACCAAACCTTAAAAATAATTTCCAAGGTGTATCTTTTTTGTCTTCTAGTTTTAAATCGTTTAATTGGGTGCATCAAAGATGGATAACAAGCAGAGAACAGGGAAATGGGGAACCTCTGATGGATGGTGTGGAAACAACCACCGGATTCTGAATGTGAACAAAAGAAGGGAGTTGATAGATGTCAGAAGAACCAGGAGTAGAAATACCTTGGTGTTCACCTCTACAACAAACTAGTCTGAGACACTACTGTGAAGCCGCCTACAGGACAGGATAGAACAGACTGCACTTTCTAAAAAAGCCTAGAGAATCAGTGTTTGCATTATCTGCTGGAGTAACAGTATTAGAGCAAATGACTTTAAAAGCTCAACAAGCTGATGACAGAAATAAATGCTAATTGTCCTGTACTTATATGCTGATACAAGTCAGTCAGAAGATACTACATTCAGTCATTAACCCATTCACTCAAACACTGATGGTGGCAACCTACATTGTAGCCACAGTTGCCCTGGGGCTCACTGACAGAAACAAGGGTGCTGTACACTGGATCCTCCCACCATCAACAGGTGATGAAGTACCTTGCCCAAGGACACTACAAAAGTAAAAGCCT